AGGAAAACCCCAGCTCAAATGTCAGTTCATTACACTGGCACACAAGTAGCAGTAAAGGTGTTTCCCTTCTAAAAAAATTAGTGAGTGGAATAGATTTCTGAGTTAACAAGTCAGGTTAGTGAGAAAGGGCATCAGCATTTAGGGATTTTGGCTAAGATTTCCAAAACAATAAGAAAGAGAACATTTCTAGGTTTTTCAATGTAAGCATTGTACAGGTTTTACATTTTTACATTCTTATTTTGGTATCAATTAATATACCACAATATTAATTAGTGATAACAGAAATTCTAGTCATCAAAGCACATTTCACATTGTTTTAAAACAGGCCTGGAGGGATAAAATCAGACAGAGCTCTTTGAAATATATACCTTCATAAATTCACTTAGACTTATGTCAGTTTTGTCAAATCTGAAAGAGGCTAAAAAAGAGTCAATTAGGCTTGGAAATCCATCTGAGTTCATAGAAGAGTCCTGGCCAGTCCAAAGCCGAATAATTTTCCCTAGTGAGAGAAGGTGTGATTCAGTAGACACACATAATTTTCTTCCTTTTAACTATAATCTTTCCAGTTGTTGGTGGTGGCACATACCTGAAATCTGTTACTTGAGAGGCTTAGTGTCTCCAGCAATGGGGATATGATGTAAAGAAAATTGGTAACCAAGAGGAAAATTAATTAGAAAACCTGTCCCTTTCACCTCAGATGGACGTGGCAAGAAAAATTGGAAAAATAATGGTGACTGCTGAGAAAACATGTTTCATAGTCTTTTTCTTTCCCTGGAATAAGACCATAGGGTCCAAGTCTTATTTGAGAACTCAAGAAATGTTATGGTTTGGACATAGGGTGTTCCTCAAAAGCTCACATGTGATACAATGCAAGAAGGTTCAGAGGAGAAATGATTGGGTTGTAAGAGTCTTAGCCCAATCAGTGCATTAATCCCCCTGATAGGGATTAACTGATTGGTAACTGAAGTGGTAAAACAAAGTTGGAGGAGGTGGGACTTGAGGCATGGCTTTGGATACATATTTGTATCTGGCAAATGGAGTCTCTCTCTGCTTTCTGATCATGTTGTGAGCCACTTCTCTGTTTTACTTCCCTCTGCTGTGATGTTCTGCCTCACCTTGAGCTCTGAGGAATGGAGGCTGTTGTCTATGGATTGAGACCTCTGAAACTGTGAGCCCTCAAATAAACTTTTTCTCTTCTGTAATTGTTCTGGTTGGGTCCTCTTAGTCATAGCACAGAAAAAAGAAATGACTAAAACAAGAGCAAATCTAAAATCCATGTGTTTTTGGATAAATCACTCTGGGGATATAGAAAGAACAAAAAACTTAGTTTCTCCCCACTGTACTCTCACAACACAAAATGCTGCTGCTATCAAATGCTACCAAAGAAACCAAGCAAGTGATCAGATCTGCAGTGAACACACCAACTCTGTGTCCTCTAATTCAATTCAATTTTGATAGCATCTCACAGTTGACAGCATCAACTCTCACAGTTGGAGGTCTCTGTTCTCAGTACTCTGTCCCCACTTTTAGAAATCAATTACAAGTTGTTTCACTCATGTTTCTGATCCACTGGATATAAATTAGTGTGGGAGGCCTCCACATCATGTGACCAGCGTTTTCCTGATTGGTTGAGGCCCTGTTGGTCACTTCTAGTGGTCTGCCACTTTCAAGTGGCTGTAGATGGTGGCTCCAATCTTGAGAGTAGTAAAAATGCAGACAAATATGTCTTCATGTGTGGGCGTGCCTTCCTACATCCCCAGGGATTGAGTTACCTTATCTATCCTTGTAACCCTGCCCCTCTTGACCTTTTCTGGATGGAAATTTCTAAGAACCAGAGTCCCCCCAATAAAAGACTACTCCAAAACGTGCTAGCTCTCTCTCACCAGCCTCTTGTGACATTCCTCGCTCTCTCATTTGGGGAGCTTGAGGCTGAGGGCAGAGGAGCCTTCCTGGGGCTTGAATTTAAAGGTAAATTGTGTGTCTGTGTTTTATTTTATACCTTAGGAAATTCACTGGAATGACCTCTAGTTTAGCTGCCGGTGCTGGCTGTGGGCAGTAAATTAGAATTCCTATTAGTGTCTCCTCAAGTTCCATTAATTTTCTATATGACTCATGGAACTCAGGGAAATTGTTACTTACATTCACTAGGTTATTATAAAGGATATGACAAAGGATACTGATGAATATCAGATGAAGAGATAGGTAGGGTAAGATATGGAAGAAGAAGTATGGAACTCCTAGGCCCTCTCTGAGCAAGCACCATCCAGGAACCTCCATGTGATCAGAAGTCAACAAGTATCCCCAAACCCGTCTTTGGTGTTTTGTGTGTGTGTGTTTTTTTTTGTGTGTGTATAGTTATAATTGTTTAAATAATTGACCATTGGTGATAAACTTTAGACCCTCCACTACTTGCTAGAGATTGGGCTGAAAATTCTCAACCTTCTGATGCTTTGGTCTTTGTGACAGGATCCATCCCGAAGTTTCCTAGAGGCTTCCAGCCATCAGTTACCTTATTATCACACAAGAAAACAGTCATCACTCATCACTGTGGAGATTCAAAGGATTTTAGGATTAGTATGTAAGGAAATGGAGACAAACACAACATATATTTTACAATATTACAACTGCATTTGTGACTTCAGAAGAAATTGCCTTTAGTGTTCCCTCCACATCAAAACGAGGAAGCAGCCACATTTGAGCCACAGCTATCCACTTGATGGATAGCATAGTTATGTAAGGTATAACTAGAGTTTAGTGCCACAGCTGTATGGTATATAAGATATTTAGAAGTTCCTGTATACTCTGTAGAAATAGAGATATTAATTATGTTGTTGATCAGATGATTCCAGGGGATTCTGAACATGGTCATAGTGATTAAATCAAGAAACAGCATTTTCTAATCATAGTTTCTAAATGTGTCAACCCTTATACTTGTTGAAAAAATATATAAATTAATAACTCCATTTCCTATATTTGTGTGATTAAATTATCAACTAAGGCATGGTAGCAAGTGCCTTGTCCCTATTCCTCCTTTTACCAATTAACCTTGACTAACACAAGTACAGTTATGCTTTAGTGCCCTAGGCCTCTGCAACTCTCCATTCCTTTTGCTCAAAAATCTCAGATTTTGGAATCTCACTGTAGACCTCAGTAGCCTGAATGTGACTTTCAAATGCAGATGTTTAGTGGTAGCCCTGGGTAACATATGTTTGTCTCTTACAAGTCAATATGCTTAAGCTGAAGCAAGCCCATCTCGACCATCAAGAAGATGATATTCAATCTCAGTTTGCTTAACCAGGCATGGCACAGTATGCATATTGGTGCCACATAACTGTTTCTGGACCTATTACAACCAGGCTGTAATAGGTCTTTTGTTCTATCCCTTACTTACTGAACTCATTTAACTTGATAAGCCAACTAGTGTGCTATGTATAAATGTTTAACTTTACTCTAGTATTGGTTTGGGTAAAATGTTAATTCAGAAGATCCAACGGGCTGCATATGTGCTTTTTTTTTTTTTTAAGAGAGAGTGAGAGAGGGGGGGAGAGAGAGAGAGAATTTTTAATATTTATATTTTAGTTCTCGGCAGACACAACATCTTTGTTGGTGTGTGGGGCTGAGGATCGAACCCGGGCCGCACGCATGCCAGGCGAGCGCGCTACCACTTGAGCCACATCCCCAGCCCTGCATATGTGCTTTAAGGCTTCTTTATGTCTCCATCTTCCCCTCTAGAACTGGAAAAGTCTACAATCCTGTATTTAGATTAGAGACCATGGTAAGAAGTGTGAGAAGCAAAGGAAGGGGATTTTATTTTTGTATTTAAATATTTCAGCTACTGTGGCAATATAACATCAAAGGAATATTTAGGACACATTGACATATTCTAAAGGCACACTCTTTATAACCAGAGGAAATTTGTTTTATTTAAATTCAACTTGTCAAAGTACAAATACCTTTGTACAACTTATGTTGTTGTTTTTAAAAATTTAATAGGTAGTAGTACATTTTATAAGTATTTCTCTGGATTTTTATTTGCTGCTTTCATAATCTACAATACAAAGCCATTTTAAAAGATCATACTGCGGAAATTCTAAAATTGAACATTTACCTGAAAAGTTGCTTTCATAAAGAGTTTTTCCAAAATTTCCCTTAATAGCTTTATATTTAAATGGACTAATTGGAAATAAAAATTTAAATCTAAAATACTATTCAAATAGCTATTTTTGTTACTCTATATTAATTTGAAAAGTGTTTTACTACAATTATCCTTTTTTCATTTGGATAAATATAATGTTAACAGAAAAGCATGTGTTGGTGCATAAAAGATAGCTACAAAATGGACCATGGACTATGCATATAAAACATTTGATGTTTCCATGTGTGAATATTGTATAACATTTTCTCAGTTTTAATGCACTTAAAATTGTTGGTTTTGAAACCCATTTAACTTAATGGTATGTATATACTGAGTTTACATAAATATTTGAGGACAATAATACTTTTCTTATAAGGGAGGACCTGATATACTGAAGCTAAAGTCACAGTTGGTATCAATATGATAAACATTCACTGTTTTACGATGTAGATTATATATGTAACACCACAATAATATTTTACTGGTAACTAAATTAATATAACAGTATGGTAAGAACTATCAAATCTGAATGCATTTTCTGGTAAATAGTTACTGAAAAGAGTAATGAAGCTTGTGAAAATTTTGACATACTGTGATCAGCATAACAAATTATAACAGTGCACCATTTTTTAGACTTGACACAGGAAATATTTTCATCTTGAGAAATGTAAGATATAATATCATTATTTCGGTGTGGTTTAAATAAGACTATAGTGTCTTGATGAAAATCATATTCTATATTTTAAGCTTCAGGCATTATTTTATATTGTTATATTTTGGATAATAGAGTACCTTTTTAAAAAATAAAGTGTTTTTCATTTGTCAGGCTCTTAATTTGAAAATTCTTAATGCTTATATTATCTTCACACTTTGATCACTAACAATTTTCATTAAGTATTTTACCATTTTATACTAATGAGGTTAAACCTAGCCTATTGGATTTCTCTATATTATTAACTATGACAAAATATGCACTTAATATTTGTCTACAATTCATATTTAAAACTTATGTCGGCTTCAAAAATGAGAGCAATTCGAAGTATATATTAGAATGACAAAACAAATTTCGAGTTTGCTTATTAATTTTAGAAAAGAACATATTACTTCTTTCTCCCTTTTTTTCTACTATGCTTCTTGCAGTTATCCAGTTTCATTCTATTTGATAAAGATAGCTTTAGGGCAGCTTCACCACCACAACACATGCACCAGCTCTTCCAATATTAACAGGCACCTCCTAAAACAAAAACATGAAAAGAAATAAGGTTTGAATTCTGTGTTTAGCATGACATAGAATGTTGGGACTGAGAAAAGCGATTATTTTGATCCAACTTTCACCGTACAGAAAGATAAGAGAAACTGTAGACCAGACAACAGTGTAGTGTAGGGAAAATAAAATAGATTTTAGATGGCATAAACCTGAGTTTGTGGATTAAGTGATCTTGGGTAAGTTACACCTATCTGATAATTTTCATACTTGAAAACTTGCTGAGAATAACACTAACACTTCAATGTTTTTGAAGGGTTAATAAAATTATTAATGAAAATAATTTATCCTATATACTTGTAAATCTACTCCCTGGTATTTATTTTCCTATTTTCATTATCACACAATATAACAGTGACAGCAGCCAGAAACAGAATGGGGTTCTCTTAGCTACTAGTCTATTATCTTCAGGAAATTCAGTTCCATAAGTTTAGTCAAACATTTTGATTATTGTATTTGAACTAAAACCTTATTTGCTACTTATTTTCCATCTCTGATTGGTACCAAGCTTTGCTAAAATAAGAAGTTACCTACATGGTAGGGTGTGAGACTCTTCAAATTTTTGGAGGAAGGAGAAGAAAACCCATTATCAGTTGTCATTATATTAAAAAATATTTATTTAAAGCACAACAAAATGCAATGTGGCATGAAGTCAGTTTCATGCAAGGTAAAGTTGAGTTCTAAATAGGAGATTTGCCAGTTTGCATTGATGGTAAAGAGTTAATCCTATATAATTTTTATCAACCCACAATTTACTTAGCAGAAAAAATATATATATTTTGGGATCAATTTAGGGCTAGTCACTGGCAAAATGGTCAAAAGAGTCACATTTTTCTTTACAATCTCCAAGATGTATTTTCAGTTTTCATTTTTGCATCCTTGGAATTTGTTCTATTAGATCCTCAGCTCTTTTGAGGAGTTTAATTCTGGTCTCTTGCTGTGTACTAAATTCCTTGAATGACTGAAGTTAGGAGTATTGCCATTTACACAGTCTCTATGAGGAGAAGATTGAAGGCTTTTCTTCTAGTCACCAACTGTCTTATTAGGGCAGGCATTGTGGAATAAGATATTGATCATTGTTTCTCAACTTAAAATACAAACATAAAAGGTTAACCAGAGTGAAGTTCTTGAATTATTCAATCTGATTCACTGCCTTATTTTCTTTTTTCCCCCAGTACCAGGGACTGAAGCCAGGGATGCTTAGCCACTGAGCCACATCCCTAGTCCTTTTTCATATCTTATTTAGAGACAGAGTCGAAGTTGCTTAGGGCCTTGCTAAATTGCTGATGCTGTCTTTGAACTTGTGATCCTCTTGTCTCAGCCTCCAGAGCCACTGGGATTACAGGCATGTACCACTGTGCCCAGCTGATTCACTTCCTATCTGTGAGAGTAATGCTTCCGTTGAGTCAAGCCTTTTCTCTTTCATATAAGTGCTGCTGTATCCTAGTAATGACCTGCTAAAGCAACTAACAATTCTCTAAATCAACTATAAGTTCTCTAAGACATAGATAAAGCACATACTATCAATCTCAACAAAAGGCCAGGTTAGGTCCTAGAAAGGAAAAGAATGAAATTAATTCCAAAAACAAATTTTAAAATAATTTACTAAAATTGAAACATACTAATTTGAATATTTTTATGAGAGTACCTCTGTCCATTCATTTTTCTGAGCATCATATGACTCAACAGTGTTCAAATAAGTGTGTCCGTCATATCCTCCAACCACATACAGTTTGTCTCCAAGGGGACAGACAGCAACAGCATCTCGAGGAACACTCAGAGGCGCCACTGTTGACCATGAATCATGTTTTGGATCATATCTTAAGAGATTTAGGAAGACAATTCAGAGAGAAAATGCAATATTGTTAAAATATAAAATAATGGGAATTAATAAAATGCACATTTATCTAAAACAAAATTAAAAACACATTATAAATATCAAGTGTTAGTTGGCTAATAGTGTTAAGGATACACAAAATTAAAAACACATTATAAATATCAAGTGTTAGTTGGCTAATAATGTTAAGGATACATACATAACAGAATTCTCATCAGCCACCAGAGGTCTCTCAAAGCATATCAAAGAAGTGTTTCCTAAATACCATGAATTTCTTTATTCTGTACTCAGATTATCTTTGAAGAAAATTCACATGTTGGAATCATAGCACATATAAAAATTGTCCACTCTCTCATTTAGTGTTTTGGTTGGGGAGGTTTTTAATTTCATACTCTTTGTTCATGAAAATTATTCTTGGGAAGCCTAATCCTGATTACATGAAAGCTCACATTTCAAAGTAAACCTAAAGACAATTGTTGTTTTTTAAAAATTTTATTTGTGCTGAATAAAATGTAGTACCTTGCTTTTAATATTATTTACACTTAGAATGAGTATAATTTTATCCTGTTTATTTTTCTTCTGAGGGTACTTATTCAACTATACAGGAGTCTAGGAGCTTTTTTGTTTGTTTGCTTCTATTTTAGTCTAACTGCTATATCAAAATATTTTCAGTATACAAACAAGAATTCAGTAAGTAATATTAATTAAAATACTTTCTAGGAACTGTTTCTTAAACTTTAAAGCCTGTTTAAAACACACATAACACTGAGACTTAAAAGGGATAAAAATTAAGAAAATTCACAAAACTATACTTGGGAATTCTCTAATTTTATGTTGACCTAGTTATAAAGGCCCAATGAAAGATTTATTTATGGTTTATTTTATAAACTAAACTTTCATTTATCATCTACTAATGTATTTATATATTCACATTGTCTCCTCTTTTAATATCATATATTTATATTTATATATATATATATATATATATATATATATAGAGAGAGAGAGAGAGAGAGAGAGCGCTATATACCATGCCTTTTATTTATATTTTTATGTTTGTTTTACTTTTTATTTGTTATTTTTAGTTATGCATGACAATAGAATGAATTTTGACAGATTGTACATATACAGTGTATAATTTATTCTATTTAGGATCAGACTCTTGCGGTTGCACATAATGTGGAGTTACCCTGGTCATGTATTCAAATACAAGTCTAGGAAAGTTATTACCTATTAATTCAGTGTTTCCTAATCCCCTCCCCCACCTTTATCTACATTTTCTTTTGTTTAATCCAATGTTTTTCTATTATCCTTCTCCCCAACCTCCCCTGTTTGGGGTTAGTATCCACAAATTAGAGAACATTTGGCCTTTGTTTAGAATTAGATATATTTCACTTAGCATGATAGTTTCCAGTTCCATCCTTTCACTGGCAAATACCATAATTTCATTCTTCTTTATGGCTGAGCAATATTACATTGTGGACATATACCACATTTTCTTCATCCATTCATCCATTGATGTTTGTTGTTTCCATTGCTTGGTTATTGTGAGTTGAGCTGCTATAAACATTGATGTGGCTGAATCACTGTATTATGCTATTTTTAAGTCCTTTGGGTATAGACGGAGGAGTTGAATAACTGGGTCAAATGGTGTTCCATTCCAAGTTTTCTAAGGAATCTCTATACTGCTTTCCAGATTGGTTGCACCAATTTGCAGTCCCACCAGCAATATATGAGTGAACCTTTTCCCCCCACATCCTCACCAATATTTATTGTTACTTGTATTCTTAATAATTGCCATTCTGAGAGGATTGCTGAGCTACATCCACAGCTATTTTTATTTTTTTATTTTATTTTTTATATTTTGAGACAGGGTTTCACTAAGTTGTTTAGGGCCTCACTAATTTACTGAGTCTGGCTTTGAACTTACAATCCCCCTGCCTAGTCTCTGGAGTCACTGGGATGTGCACTACCATGCCCTGAACCTTTAATTATATTTTAAATCATCTGATATCAGCTTCTATCTGAAGTTGACCTCATATCCAAGAATATACTTGATACTATTCGAAAACAGTAAGTAACTAAGCAACTTCAATACCCATTAAAATTTATTGTTATGTAGTATATCAACTTGATTTCTAATATAAGATGACCCACAACCAGAATATCTATAGTTATTTGCTCTAGCTATGTGGATCTTCGAAACACCAGCTATTATTAACTGAGGCTGCATTCAGTAACATTCAATGTAAAAACATGTAGGAATGGTGAACCAGAACTCACTAAAGGAATTCCATACAGATTTGCATCCAATAACCCAAGACTTTTCTGCATGTTTATAAATAATAACCCAAATCTTGCTCATGTTATTATTATCTGGATATTGCTTAATACACATTTCACCATACTTTTTAAGCACAAATAAAATTTTAAAATAACAATAATTTTCCATGGATTCATTTGTACTTTGGATCAATGTTTCCCCTAATATTATATTAATATTATGTTTATATTATAGATGTTTTAGTGTTGTCTACAATCAAGTAACTCATAAAAAGACTATAGAGAGCTAGAGTTGTGCCTCAGTGATAGAGTGCTTGCCTAGCACATGTGAGGCACTGGATTTAGATTCTCAGCACCACATAAAAATAAATAAATAAAATATAGGTATTGTATCCATCTACAACTAAAAAATAATTTAAAAATTTGAAGACACATGGTTCTTAGGTACAGAATCATATTTTACATAAAAATATAATTCAATTCCTCAGTACAGCTAAAATAAAAAACTAGAGATATATATTTTATGACAAGTTTGTATATGTATTTTTCATATATACATATATTACACATATGTATATGTAAATTTTCTGACAGGCAGAAATTATTTTATTTTATTTTTTTTTAAAGAGAGAGTGAGAGAGGAGAGAGAGTGAGAGAGAATTTTTAATATTTATTTTTTAGTTCTCGGCAGACACAACATCTTTGTTGGTATGCGGTGCTAAGGATCGAACCCGGGCCACACGCATGCCAGGCGAGCGCGCTACCGCTTGAGCCACATCCCCAGCCCGACAGGCAGAAATTATGAATTGTAGATTTATTTAACTTTTTGAGGTTTACAAAAGGAATCCATAAATTATCCAGGTAATTTAAAATTTCTACACTTCTTTTAATTTATTTCAATATTCTTTTAACAACTGTATCTACTACATATTTTGAGTCTTTCTAAAAGGAGACCATGATTCCTTCTAGCCACACACACACAATGCATACACACAATTCCTACATTTGATAATTTTATCATGAAATTCTTTATGAATAAAAGAAGAAATTATTGACTTGAATTCTGTCAAATGTCCTAATGTAACATAACAAATTTGATTTTACACCAAAATGGAAAGTCAAATATGATTAGTTTCATACATTTACAAACTCCACATGTAAGAAAAATCCTTCTGCTACTGTTTTTTATTTAACAAGAGAAGGCCTCAGCTTCTACATCTGTAAAGTGATAGGGATAAACTAGATCTTAAAGGTCTTTTCCACTTGAAACTATAATAATTCCAGTGTTGTTGCTGATGGATATAAACAATGAACACAGACATAAGCCTCATCCTTAAATATAAAGAAAATTCAATGTGACATTTTTGTAATTTTTTATCTTGTCAATGTATTATCATTAAAATTGATGTCAGTAATTCGGTAGGAAATCTATCTATCATCTATGTACCACAATCCAGGCAACAATAGCAGAACATGTAAGTGACTATGGAATATCATAAAGAATAGAGTATGTTTTAGGAGACGAAGTAGATATTAATAAGTCGAAAACATTAAAAATTTCCAAGATATTCTTTTCTGGTCACAAAGAAAATAAACTGCAAATTAAAAAGTAAAACTGAAAAATCCATGAACCTGTGGAACAAATGAGTCAAAACAAAAGTCAGAAAGAGCTAGGTGTGGTGGTGCACACCTGTAATACCTGTGGTTTGGGAGATTGAGGCAGGAAGATCACAAGTTCAAAGCCAGCTCAGCTTCACCAATTTAGCATGGCCGTAAGCAACCATGTCTCAAAATAAACAATAAAAAGTACTGGAGATGTTACTCAGTGATAAAGCACCACTGAGTTCAATCCCCAGTGCCATAAAACAAAGTAATCACAAGAAGAACTATAAAATACTTTAATAGAAATGAAAAGGAAAACATGATATACAAATCCTATGTGATACAATGAAAACAGTGCTATGTGGAAAATTTATAACTAAAAATGCTGCATTTAAACCAAAGTTTGCAAATCAACAAATTTTACATTTAAAAACTAGAAAAAAGTAAGCAAACTAAATCCAAAGCACAGAAGTAAGGAAATAATATAGAGCAGAAATAAATAATATAGCCAACAGAAAAACTAAAGAATATTAATAATGAATGAAACCAAAAGTTGTTTCTTTTATTATTATTTTTCCTTTTTGGCACTAAGGATCCAACTTAGGGGTGTGTTATCACTGGTCTCCATCTGCAGTTCTTTTTTATTTTGAGTCAGGGTCTCACTAAGTTGCTAAAGCTGGCCTCATCTTTGAAATCCTCCTGCCTCTGCCTCCTGAGTAAGTGAGATTACAGATCCATGCTTGGCAAGTGTTGGTTCATTGAAATGATAAAAATGTTTATAAATTTTAATTCTTTTATAATAAGCAAATAGAGAAAATATTCACTAGAATCAGTGAAATAAGTGACATAAATACTAATTTTTCAGAAAAAAGAAATAATAAAAAAATTACTAGGAGGGGCTGGGGTTATGGCTCAGTAATAGAGTGCTTGCTTAGCATTTGTGAGGCACTGAGTTCTATTCTCAGCACCACATATAAATAAATAAAATAAAGGTCCATTGATAAATACAAAAATATATTAATAAATGAAATTAGTATGAATACTTTTACTCCAATAATTTGGATAAATTAGATGAAATGGGAAAATTCCTAGAAAAATACAACCTACTGAAATTGCATCATGAAGAAGTAGAAAATATAAATAGATTAACAACAAAATGAGACTCAGCCAATAATCAAAAATTTTTCAACAAAGAAATCTCTAGGATTATATTGCTTTCTTAAAATTTAAAGGAAATTAACATTAATCCTCAAATGTCCCAAAAACTGAATAAAAAGTAATAATTCTAAACTCTATCAGTTCTTCATAAGTTTTATGAAGTCAAAAATACCCTACAAGGAAAGAAAACTACAGAACAATATCTCTAATAAATATTGATGTAAAATGTTCAACATGATACTAGGAAACCAAATTATACAACCTATTGAATAACTGTAACCAAGTGAAATTTATTTCTGGACTTCAGGATGTTTTAATATACAAAATACTCCCAGTATAACAAAATGAAGGAAAATATATACATGATCATCTCAATTGATGTAGAAAATAGTATGGGTCAAAATTAATCATATTTTCATGATAACATACTCATAAAACCAGAAGAAATACACCACAATATAATAAAGACTATATATAAAAAAAACAGAGCTAATATTGTATTTAATTATAAAATGAATTTCTTATATGGTCAGGAACAAGAAAAGGTGCTCATTTTCAACAGTTCTGTTCACTACATTTCTGGAAATTCTAGCCAGAGCAGGAGAAGGAGAAGAAGGAGAAGGAGGAGGAGGAGAAGGAGGAG